CGCCCTGGCGGGGCTCGCCGAGGCCGACGCCTCGGCGGAGGAGGCCTCGGACCTATCCAACAACGACTCCGGAGTCCCCTCGGGCCCGCTGAAGTTTCCCTCCTTCAGGGTACGGCGGGGGATGTCAAGTTCGTCCTCACAGGACACACCATTGCAATTTGCGAACGATGCAATGTTTCCAGGCCGTGATGCTCATCCTTGTATGACTTATCAGGACGCGTTTGACTATCTCAAGTCGAGAAAAAAAGAGGTAAGTCCTAACATCGGCTTCGTGCTTGCGCTAAGAGAACTTGCAGGTGGGGGCGACTTCAGTCTTAGCAGCTCGCTGTAATTATTAAATAACAAAGTCCGAAATTTAGACTGGCACTTTAATTCTCTTCAAACCTTTGCTGTTTTAGATTAGAAGGACATGTATCCTTTCTCTCTCTCCTCCCCCCCCCCCCCCTTCCTCCATCCTCTTAAAGTAAATATGGTGACAAACAGGAAGGATCCTTTTCTATTGAAAAGGGAAAAATCGAGATGCTCATGATAGCGTTCTGGTACCCACATATGGAGGCCATGACGAAGCGTTTCAAAAACATTTACATAAACTAAAGGTGATACGTCTGTTTATGTAAATATTGTAAAATTAATCTTATTTAGCATAGCATTCTGAGTTTTTTCATTTTTTGTTTGTGTAGGATAGATTATTTTTAGTCTAGAAGTGTTCTTGAGTTTTTTATTTCTGCTTTATGAGTTACAAGAAAGAAGCACCTACTTAGTACATTTCTTCCTCCTTTCCCTTCTTCCTCCTATTCACTCTTAGTAAAATATCATATATAAATATATTTTCTCATCCGGGTACTTTTGAGGGGGAAATATATTCGTTAAGCCTCTTTTTTCCCACATATTTCTAAACGACACCATTTTGTGCTGAAGTTTATAAATTTTCTTGTGTCTTTTTAAATATTCCTTTATAAAAGTTCAGATTCTTCCGGATTGCATGAAGCTTTTGATATTTTTGTCTGTGCGTAAAACATTCGATCTATTTTACTTTCCCTTGCTAGAATGTACATTGCATCATTTGTTTTGGCGAGCCTTTATTTTACTAATTTTTTCCATTTTATACTGTAAACTTACCTTTCACAAATACAATCATAGTACGCACAATTTTTATTTATCCTTTTTATTACTTTACTATGGAGTTTGATTGACGTGATTTTCCCTTTTTTCAATCACCTAAAGTTAGCTTTTTCAGTTGAGCTTTAATGCTTATAAACAATAATATTGTGTAGGGAAAAATACACCGCTTTTTTGTTCCACATAATTGTGACAAACAATTAGTACGAAAATAGCTTGGATGGAATAAAGCGCACTCGTCTTTTACTACCACCTACGCACAAAGCTCAGAAAGCGGTCTTCTTTTTTAACCATCACAGTTGTGTTTGCCTGTCGAATAAGGGTATTTAAACTCCTCTATGGATGCTGCCTAGGCCTCAAGACGACTTCGTATGCTTTCCATCGATTCGAGGATATGCCGATCGATCCGTTTTGACCTAGAAAAAACATCTGTGTGTGTGTGGAGGTGAAATGAGACTGATTCACAGGACATCATATTTCAGCATGGGGGGGGGGGGGAGAGGAGATATAAGCCCAAAGGTATTGGGTATTAATTGGGTTCTTGGTTGTACCAAATCCTATAGAAAAACGTCTATCCTTCGCTAAGTGGGAATCCATGTAGGTGCGAAA